CGGAATACTCTTCGCTTCCTATCATAGGCGTCAGGCCAGGATTTTGTCTCTTTCACCTTGAGCAACACCACCCGCAAGCCGTTTGACAGCGCCCCAGGCATATCTCTTCGCACGGCTTGCGTACGACCTTTCCAAGCATCCTCGTCTTGTCTGATATCTGAATCCATGTCTTCAAAGTCGCGGAAGAATTCAGAGTGCTCTAGGAGGAATTCTTTGTTGACATAGAAGCCAACGTCGTCGTCGGTGACTAGCAGAAAGTCGTCGTTCGTCTGGACGGAGAAATCGGGATGAATGGACGAGGGAAGAGTATCAGGGGTTCGATCGGTGGGGGGAGACGATACAACGTCCCGAGTGACCTCTAATGACTGTCAGCGGTCTAACGTTCATGGACGCGATGGACGCACCCGTGAGCCTATCCGCACCCGCAGAACCCGCCGCGACCGAGCCGGGTGTAGACGAAAAAGACAGTGCTCGATGATCGCCATCGTCATGAGTACGCGAAGCGTCGGTGTCTACTTCGCAACATCAGTGTAAGGCCGGAAGACATTTGTATGATTCACTCACCCTGGGCGTCCTTCACGTCGAGATGATTGAGCGACTTGGTCAATTCTGCGTCGTCGCCTGACATGCCGTCGCGTTGTGAGGAATTCGGATTATATATGCCGATGGTAGGAAGGTGGTGGACTAGGGAAGTGAGATGGATATTTAGATCGATCGGTTGACGAAAATACAGCGAGAGAGTGAAAGTATATGATACGAGCGGAAACGATAGATAAGCGGCGCACTACCATTCTCTTACGTGAAACTTTCCGTTGGAAGACGACCACGCAGTCAAGCTGGAACTCGAATATAGTGGGCGTCCTGTTGCACAGTACGTGCATTACGCCTTCGTCAAGTCTGTATGTGCTGTAAATAAACGACGTTGAGTGATGAAGAGCAGCCTCAAGGCTGATGGTATCAAAAGCCCTCTGTCGTTTTATTCAACGAGACTCTGTCACATTTGCAATTGAAGTCGAGTACAAATACATTCGAAAACTGCATACACTCATGAGAGACCCCTTCATCTGTTACTGCCAGTGCGCTGACAAACTGACCCACAGCGTCTTGGAAGATCGTAATACAGATTGGCGGCACTCAACACACTTTACATCGATGTTGATTTCGGCTTCGATTTCGTCCCACAACAGCTGGTCCCGGCCTTCCGTGCACCTGCAGGTGAGACAGTGTTGAAAAACGTCCCCGCCCGACCTGCCAGCAGTGTCCCACCAATAGCATGCGCTTCTCTTACAAGAACACTTTACCCCGCCTAGATCTGCTCTTCTTTCATCTTCGAAAGCGGCTTGCGCCTGCTGTAAAAAATCGTGATTGTCAGAACGAAGAGGCCTTAAGGAAGGAGGGGACGTTTTGGAATGTGAGAGTCTCGATTTTGATCGCTGAGGATGCAGCTCTTCTGATAGGGCACTTCAGTTGGCTTTGCAGCTGGAGAAGCGGGGCTCACTATTCTCCGTCCAAGAGAGACCCCATATATCACATCCATCTTGTACACACTGCCACAAACATTTCGACTGTGCTTTGTTTCAGCTTCTAAGTCTTGTAGAGCTTTGAGATATCAAGAGCATAATGATGGCGAGAGAGAGTGAGGAGAGTGAAAGACTCTGCGTGCCGGGCGTAGCGATGTCGCGGTAGGCGTCAAAGACGTCGAGAATGAGCCCCGGCGGGAGAGGAAGGTGATGGAGGGAGTCAATGGATTGCTTCGGCATGACATAAGTAAACGCTATAGCTGCTGAGAAGGGACAACACAAAGAGTGACGATTGACGCCTAGATTATCACCGACGCGACGAACGCATCAACAAACAGCGCCACAGGTTGACGGACCAGCAGCGACGGACAATGCGATGCGAGGAGGGCACGATCCCGCAACGTGTGAATATTGTCCGGTTGTAAATCAGTGGAGAGACTCCATAAGATGTACAGTACTCTACATACCACAGCTCATAGACCGTGTTTTCACAGGATACAATATCACTACATAATACCATGCAATCACTCAAACAACATTTCCTTGCTCTCACGTGGAGGCCCTAACATACACCTCCATTCGTACCCTGCCTATCTCTGTATCTCAAACATCATGGCCCGCTAGGCTCAACAACAGTAACTTGAAGTGACGATTTACCCCAGCTATCAGACATGACTCGTCAGCTGCACATCCTTCTTCTGGACTCTTTCATTCGAGACGCACCTCTTGATCTTGCTCTCAACCTGATCAATCTGCTCCAACCTATGCTTCCTCTTCTTGAAAAGGGTAGCTCTTTCCCCTACCACCGCTGTCCTATACTCCAACGTCACATGCTTGACATGCGGCAGCCTCCTGCCAAGCACCCCGAGCCAGTTCAGTGCAAGAGGTGAGATACGATGAAAAGGCCTCGACGGCATGACGAACATCAGCCTCTCTGCCCCATAATGCGTATACCCATTCCTCGGCCCATCCAACACGTAGCTCACCATCCTCATCTCCCCTCCTCCAAGCGTCTGTTCTTCAAACACAACCGTCTTGGCGCCGTGTAAAAGCCGGACAGGATGAGGCAAGGAAGGATGGAGTTCCCACAAGTACCAGCCAGAGGACCCGGGGATGCTCAAGAGCTCTGAGATCTTGGCGAAGCAGATGGCGTTCTGGAATATGAGGGTGTTGATGTTGAAGCCTGTTAAAGTGCATTTGATGGGGCAAAGGAGGTTCCTGACAATCTCGTCCTCATCCACAACATGCTCCATGCTGCGCTTAGCAGCCAAGAGCTGAATCGCATGGAAAGCCCATCTCATCCACATATCCAGAAACGTATCCGCCATGCCCTCCTTGACTTTGGCGTCCCGGTAAAGTCTGCGGATGTTGAGGGCATAGTGATATCGGGAAAGAGTGAGGAGCGTGAGGAACTCGGGTGTGCCGGGGCGGGTGATGGCGGTGTAGATGTCAAAGATTTTGAGAGCGAGCTCGGTTGGGAGAGGGAGGCGATGGAGAGGTGCGTCGGGTCGCTGCATCGACATGATGATGGTGTTGGATTCTGGAGTTCAGTACCCAGGACGCTGCGAGTGGTATAGTATTATCAGAAGCAATGAAGTAGACGCAATAAAGTGATACTTGTCTGATAATGAGCATCAGCGAATTGGGGTCGCGTCTTGGAAAATAGGGTTTTGAGGTTTTCCTTGGAAACCGCGGCAGGGTTTGGGCCATTATGGGTTTTCAAGGCGCGTCCCAGCTTGAAATCGTTTTCAAGTCCATTCCAACAACCGTATTACATTCTTTTGGCCTTGATTGAATTGTCCTACCCTTGGTAATCCCACTTGGCTAGATGTACACACATACAGAAGTACCGACGTACGTACTACGCACGTGTACGTACGTCAGTCGGTATGACTAGATACGGTACGGACGTTACGACAGTCCCGCCTGCAGCCGACATCGCAGCACTCATCCTTCTCACAACGACGACCGTCTTGCCGCTGACAACGAAGGCCTCGGTATAGTTAGATTGTTCATGCACACGGCTTACTCTTGCTTATGACTATCTCGACTCATGAAGTCCGTCCGCGGCAGTTCTGCCCAACCCTATTGCCCCTTCCTCAGTAGTCCCTCTCATTCCCCTCGTCAAAAAACACCATGGTGTCGCCTTCATCGTCATCCTCGTCATCCTCATTATCCTCGTCATCTCCTTGCCCGCTCATGGCATCGTCGTCGCCCCACATCTCCTGATCGTCATCAATTTCCTCACTATTCATCGCATCGTCGTTGCTGTCGGGTCCATCGACATCCTCGCCTGCATCATCTCCATCTCGGGCGCCATGGTCCACCTCATCTGCCTCCTCTTCCGTTCTGCCTTGCTCGTTGCCAACTCGGGTCAGCACCGAGTCGGTGTCCGGGGCGGGAGGCGTCCCCCTCCAACCTTCGCCACCTTCAAGGCCTTTGTGGGAGCAAGGAACATGTGGGAAGAATATCTGACCAGTATGTCCTGGTCCGGTATCGCATCCGCATATCGGCATCCACAAAGCTGCCGATACCGTCAGCTGCGCTCTGTCCCTTCACGTCCACAATACATGAGCTTCACTTACAAGTTGACCGACCAACAAGACACAGGACCAGGCTCTGTCTCTTCGCCAGAGCTAACCACAGGAATCAGGTGGCAGCCTCGTATGATCATAGATGGGTCGATCCACGTATACACCAGTACTCTTTTGGGCCGCGCTCGCACCCTCGGAAGGCGGCGGGCCTCGAAACCCCAGACCCACTCCTTATCGAGGTCAAGCTCTTCCACCAGAGCGATCGGCATGAGCTGGTACTTGGGGATATCCTCCTTCTTGCTTTTCACAAACACATTCGCATTGTACAAGCCCACAACACGAGCGTACGCGAAAGGATGGGAGGAAGGCGAAGACGCAGGGAGGAGGACAGCTGGGTGAGTGTCACTTGATGAGGTCTGACCGCACCTGTCGTTCATGTGCTGTGTAGCGCATGCACAGCTTCTGGTGTTGATACAGGGTCCGTTTCTGGATTGAGACTCTGTCCACAAGGTCCGCAACACTATGATCCGCCCAATCATCGGGCACTAGCCGTTGCAGGAAGTGTCTCAGGAGCTTGACCTGTGTCCCCTTTGTCAACCCTATGAGCGTGGCGTTCTCAATTGAGCTGTCGCTGTCAAGGAAGCTCACGTTGTATTGAGTCAGTGAGTCCAGAGGCACCTTTGTACCTTGCCCAGATGCGATATCCATTCCTGACGCCATCTGTGACTTCTCCTCCCTTCCTCCCTTGATGGTCCAAGCTAGACTGCGTATCCTGGCGTCTCGCGATACGATTTGGCCGATTGAATATCCTTGTCTTTGCCTTTGTTGGTGGCGTGAAAGGCTGACTTCGCTTTCTTGTGTTGATACTCGCCCTATAAACGTTGTGAAAGATGTTAGCACCTTGCGCACCTTATGGGCAGGCCTGAAATGACAATGAGACATGCGTACGAGAGCAGTAGTATAGCTGATAGTCGCTCCCAGCATCGTGATATGTCGCCGATTATTGCCCGTAATGTGCACCTTTATCGTGCTCAGGTTGAAAGGCTGCATCTTGGGGCCTTGACGAGGGGGCTGCCTGGTTTTGGAAGAGGAGGGATCGGCGGCGGCAGCTTCGTCGAGCTCGTCTGGGGATTCATCGGTTTGCGTGACGGGTATAGGGGGCTCTGCTTAATGGAAGAGGGATGAAAACCCGTACTAGTTGAGAGAGATCATATGGATCTTTGGCATTGTATGGCGAGCGGGAAAGATCCGAAGGTGTCGCACTATGGAAAATCGCTTGTTGAATGACGACCACATCTCAGGGGTGTAGTAGCGAGCCTGCCGCCACTCTCCATAAGCTGTCACACCTCGTATTTGCCTCGTATCGCCGAAGGCCCGTCCTCGTGGTTTATCAGGGCCTATGTGATAGACACTTTCTTTCCCGTTCTCCCTAGTTTTCTCTTGTGTGTTGCTCATGTTGAGTGATGAACAGCTACCGGCCTGGCGGTATCCAAGATCTCGCTTGTGTTCATGTCTCTCATGATGCCATTTTTGAACCACTATTCCGCGGATTCTGGTCACAACTGCATTCGAAA